TAGTTCCATCGAAACTGTGGACGGTCGCTAAGCGATCGGTCGTAAGTCCAGGACTGCCCGATGTTTTTAATTTAGCTTCGATTGCTCACCGGTTTTAACCTTATTAATATTCTGATTAACTTAAGCAGAATCAATCCTGATCGAGGCAAGGATGGGAGACCACTTGGAAAGCCAAAAGCTGCAGGCTGGCCGGGGAAGGGTATTAAAAAATCACAGAAGCTGGCAAACTGTCATCGTTATGCGGACAGAATAGAGCTGGAAGGGACCTTGGAGGTCTCCTAGTCCAACCCCCTGCTCAAGCAGGAGGCCCTAGACCATTTCAACCAATCAATCAATCAATCAATCAATCAATCAATCAATCAATCAGAATAGAACTGGAAAGAACCTTGGAGATCTTCAATCAATCAATCAATTCAATCAATCAATCAAAATAGAGCTGGAAGGGACCTTGGAGGTCTTTTAGTCCAACCCCCTGCTCAAGCAGGAGACTCTAGACCATTTCAATCAATCAATCAATCACTCAATCAATCAATCACAGTAGAACTGGAGGGGACCTTGGAGGTCTTCTAGTCCAACCCCCTGCTCAAACAGGAGCCCCTAAACTATTTCAATCAACCAGAATAGAGCTGGAAAGGACCTTAGAGGTCTTCAATCAATCCAATCAATCAATCGATCAATCAATCAGAATAGAGCTGGAAGGGACCCTGGAGGTCTTCTAGTCCAACCCTAAACCATTCCAGACAAACAGCTGTCCAATCGTACATTTTAAACTTATTTTTTCTAACTTTTATAGAATCTTGTTACTTAGATTCCTTCTCTGATTCGGACCTATTTCAGCTGCCCTTGAAAACTTCAGCCCATAACCCCAAAATTGAAAAGGGGACGATGTGAATTTAAAAAAAAAAAACATTTTAAACACAGCTTGGACCGTTGTGGTTTTATGCCGTGGTATAAAATGACAGGCCGTCCTCGATTTGCGACCGCAAACTGAGCCCAAAATTTCCCATTCCAAAGCAAGACAGAATTTCGCCTCGCTTTACGGCCTTTTCCTGCCGCGGTTGTTAAGTGAACCGCTGCACTTTCCCCGTCGGCTTAGCTTACTGCAAAAGGAGATTCTGGATGCGGCGACCGTCGTAAATATGAATCGGTTGCCAAGCGTTCAAATATTATTCACGTCACGACGCTGGAATGGTCGTAGGTGCGAGGACATTTTTCATTTAACAACCCTCGCAGGGTCGTTGTGCTGGGGAAGCTGCATTGGATACGTTCACCATCAAATACATCAAATAATATAAATTCGCGACCTTCCAATCCGACTTCCGACAAGGGGCAGAACTAGATTCGCTTAACGGTTGTGGGAAGAAAAAAATCCCCACGACTCGCTTAACGACCAGCTCACTTAGTGCCCGAACTACCTGTCCCGATAGTGGTTGTACGCCGAGTACGACCTGTAAAGAGTCACACCTCTGCAACTCTGCGTATCTGCAAAGAGGTGTGACTCGACGTACGACCACAGCCGGGACAGGAAGCTCTGTCGTTAAGTGAGACAGTCGTTAAGTGAGACCTTTAAAAAAATCTTTATATATCTTCCATCTTCTTGTGATTATTTGGCATTTTGCAACCCAGATTTGCAGGTTTCGTTGGCGTATATTTGTGCTGAGTAGTTCTCCATGTTTCTCGACATGCACAGATTGCAAATTTACCCTGTTTAGTCTTTTTAAAGATCTCTTTTACCCCAAAATATTTTGTCTTTTTAATTTGGGGAAAAACATCTGTATCCCACTAGAATAGATCTTATCCCGGTCAGGAGTGGAGGAGGGGATGGGGGGGGAGAGAAAAGGGGTTAGAAATAGAACACAGCATGTATGAAAAATGCTCGTATTTTATCCCTCTATTTAAATATTAAATACATTCAATGCAGAGCCTAGAAAATAGCTGAGCTCGCCTTGATTTTTCTTCTTCTTCCAGGAATGCAAAAAAAAAAAAAAAAGAAAAGAAAAGAAAAAAGAAATCAGTATTAAAAAAAAAACAACCCCAGAAACGGAAATGGGCAGAAATCAGAAATAGAAAAAGGAGCAATTTTCTTTGAAATCAAAGACTTTAGGGGATAATAAATAAAATAAAATAAAATAATAAAATGAAATGAAATAAAATAATAAATAAAATAAATAAAATAAATAAAATAAATAAAATAAATAAAATAAATAAAATAAATAAAATAAATAAAATAAATAAAATAAAAAATAAATAAATAAAATAAATAAAATAATAA